AAATAATACAACTATCACTTTTTTCTAGTTATTCAAGTAGAGATTATCCAAGTTCAAGGGATACAAGAGATTATGCGCCACCTCCAAGAGATTATGCATACCGTGATTATGGTCATTCCAGCTCACGTGATGAGTACCCCTCTAGAGGATACAGGTACCTAGCATTGTATTTTTCTCAACTTCAGTCACACCCTGTGTCAACACTGATTTGTAGTAAGTCTCAGCAGTTTTTCTTCTTATAGTGATCGTGATGGCTATGGTGGTGGACGCGATAGAGACTATTCAGATCATCCAAGTGGAGGCTCTTACAGAGATTCATATGAGAGTTATGGTAAGGACCCATTTTGAGGATCTTGTAGCAGAGTTTGTAAAGGCTTCCTAATCCTGATTTACTAGGCTGCTTGCATTTAAGGGGGAATGTCACACTCAGTTTTTTCCTCACAGTGAAAGTGAGAATGCAATTTAGTTTATTTAACAAGATGATCAAATGATTACCATAACCTAACGAAGCAAAGTCTACAGTTCAGAATTGCAACTATCACTGGAAAATATGGCTGAGTTTCTTCTCTAAAAATAACAAGCTGTTCTGGAATATCCCCCAAAAGAGCCTGCTTGAAATAAACACCGTCTTCAGTCCTTTCAAACAGTCTTTAAATTCATTCGCTGCCTGATACACAGCCCCCACTATAAATGTCCCAACATGGCAGATTATATTATGAACATCTCAATTCATACAAAAGAGTAACAGTAAACTTTAGTGCAGCAATTCTGTAAATTCAGATTTAAATTGTTATATATAACTTATAGTGTTGCCATATTACCTGACCATTGACCCTGCAGGTAACTCACGTAGTGCTCCACCTGCACGAGGGCCCCCGCCATCTTATGGTGGAAGCAGTCGCTATGATGATTACGGCAGTACACGAGATGGATATGGAAGTCGAGAAAGTTATTCAAGCAGCAGAAGTGATGTCTACTCAAGTGGTCGTGATCGTGTTGGAAGACAAGACAGAGGTCTTCCCCCTTCCATGGAAAGGGGTTACCCTCCTCCCCGTGATTCATACAGCAGTTCAAGCCGCGGAGCACCCAGAGGTGGTGGCCGTGGAGGAAGCCGGTCTGATAGGGGTGGAGGCAGAAGCAGATACTGAAAAACAATCATAAACTTTTGGACCAAGACAGATTACTTCTCACAAACCCAAGTGGAAGTTGTTCTATCTTTACTACCAGAGGACTACTAAAAGGAAAAGTTGTTCTTACCTTTTTTTATTGTTGCCTGTTAAGTTTCCCCCTCCATGATTTTTATGCTTTTGTGAGGAAAAGTTAAAACAATGTTTAATTTCATTTCAAAATTGTTAACATTTCTTTCAAAAAGCAGATGTTAAATGTATAAAAGTTGAGCTGTGTACTAGTGTTGTAACTTTCAAAGTAAAAGTTTCCCTGAAATGCCACACTTCCCATCTGATTTTCCTCATGAATGGAACAAGCAGTTCTAAGATCTTCCACACAACATCTAACCATCTAAAATGGAGATGGATCGTTCTACACATTCAAACTCTCATTCTAAACAAATTAGTTACTTGGAGGGTGGTGGGGATGTGCCACACTATAATTTCAGTTTCCTCTTGGTTCTGAAATCACACAATATTCCCAGTTCAAAATTTCTTCAGATCCTTGTGTAAAGAAAAAAATCAGGATTCCATTCAGTCACTAAACCAGAAACAGCAAATGGATAATGCTGACCATACTTTGCCTTCCTACTGTTTTGCTGGGAATTTGCAAGGACCTCTCCCCCAAAATAAACCATTTACATGTAATAAGTCAACTACAGAATACTGTAAATAAAAGGTTTGACCAGTTCCATCAAAGAAGCTACAAAACGATGCTTACTCATACTGTTTCAAATTTTTGCAACTCTGTGTAGTGTCTCACTTTTAAAGGAACATCTTTGATTCCAAAGGCAAATGGAGAAAATAAGATAAGCAAAGAAGTCTTTCTCTCCAACTTCTCAAAGGCTTATGACTTCATAAAAACAAGTGAATCTTTCAGCATTCCACAACAGATTTAAAGCATCAAATGCCTGTGAAACAGCAAAGATGGGTAAGCAAAGCAAACTAGTTTTTCAGTCTGTCAAAATTGAACCAAATTACCTTCCTCTTAGTACAGTAAGACAAGCTGTACGTCATGGCAATGGAAGTGCTTTCTGTATTTAAAACAATATCTTATGGAAAAGCAATGCTGGAAAGCATTAGAAGTCTTCCAAATTCAACATTTCTTCTTATGGATATAAAGCATGTATGGCATCAATTTTGAAACTAAAGCGTTTAAGAATGCAGCTCGTAGACAAAATGTGTTGCAAAGTAGGGTTGGGAGGGGGAATTCTATGCCCAGTATGTTTCATTGAAGACACTTAAAACAAGCTGCATATACTATATTTCTAACAAATATTAAAATCCTGATGAAATCAGGAATTGGCTTAGATTGCCAAATATATCAGCTCGGATATTGGGCATTTTCAAGCAAGCCATTGCAAACTTGACGTTTAGTTGGATGCCTGATTTTATTTTAGTTTTGTGACACTGCATTATATGGGGAAATTCTAGTACAAGTGGCAGAACCTGTGGTGAGTTGTCATGTCCCAGGTAGAGCCATGAAGTTCAAAAGATGCTCTTGAATATAGTAGACTTGAAGACCTCCAACTAAAAAAAAAAAAAACCTTGTTACTACTCTAGTCCTCAAAATAAATTTGCCGTTCATCTTATGGATTTAACATGGCAGTGCACCATTGGAAAGGAATGAGAATCCATAAGCCATGCAACCTATCACTAAGCCATTCCAGTCCATTCCAAGCCAGTGAACCTTCCACCACTTAAAGAGAAGTAGTAAAACTTGAAACACATTAATCTACAAACCCAAGCTTGTGACTTTTCTGGGACCGGGACAGTTATAGGTTGGATAACCATTTTAAATCTGTTCTAGCTCTGTCATATCTATTTTAATTGTTGCAGGTTGATTACCTTCAAAGGCATGATGGTCCGAGGTACAGTTCAGACACGTCTGCATGGATAAGTGACAGCAGCTGTAACAGAAGGAAAGGTAAATTATATAATAGCATTGTAACTTTACAGAAATTTCCTCTTTTTCCATGCTCAAACTTTTGATCTCACTTTTTTGGGCGGGGGAGACCATGCCTGTTTTTATGCTTGAAAGCAGAATTTTTAGGATTCTTGAACAGAGTACTTTAGCAGGTTGGGAAGTGGCAAGGATGACTGGGAGGGACTTGGACCAAATGCATAGACAGAGGCCATGTCTATGTGAGATGCACTAGCTCAGCTAAGAGTTCAGTAAAGAGTAGGTAAACTAGCACAAACTGCTGTACGGATGCTTGTTTTGGTTTTTTAGTTCGCTTTTTTAGCTTTAATTTAAATTTGTTCCTGAGATAATGAAGCTAAGCCAAAATAAGCCTGTTTAAAAGAAAATGTCCATGCTGCTTTTGCAGTTTAGCTTTAATTTTTAACCAGTGCCACCTTCTTTATGGAGATTTGATCCAAAATCATATGACTGAGCTTAATTTAATATCTAATGATCTTTGAGTTTGCTTTTGCTGAGGTTCTCCAACTAAACTGTGGAACAACAGACAAATGAAGCAAAACAGCTCAAGTTCTGTAGGTCATTTGCTTATTGTTTAGCATAACAAAGCCTACCTCTTTCACATCAGTGCACATTCCCTTTAATTGGGGGCCCAGCAGGCACAGGAACAGATGTTTCCAGTTTGCTGGGACAACTTGAATAAGGATGAAAGGCTCACAGAAACAAATACCTTCCCCCAAAAAGCATAAAAGCAGATGGATTATTGCTCTGTTATTACAATTTTACCAAAAAGTCTCCAACCAAACAGTTACAGTAGCAAAGATGTGGGTTAACTTGTATGTTGGGTGAACTTCAAAACCTAACAAAGCGTAGAAAAGATGGGACATTCCCATTTAAAAGAAACTACATGAAAAATCTGTACTCTAAAAGAGAACCTGCAGTAAAACATGGCTTGTTTGCTCTCTAAAATGCTGCTTTAAAAAAACTGAAATAGGGAAGCAGGTACTGCGAGTTTTTAGTTGACAAGGGTGGAGCATGTCACATACCAGTGTGACTCTTACTGTGTTGCGTGTTTTCACATTCTTTTGGAATTGTCATTTAAAAGTATGGCACCAGGGGATTACATAGCTGCTCGATTCCCTATCAGAATGTAATAATATTGCTTTGTAACTTATCTTGACTACTTAAAGATATTTTGACATGAGGAGGAGAATATTTACTATCTAGGGTGCACTATTAATTTAGAACACTGTTTTACTCTAGGATTTGTTCCTGCACTGATTTACTTTTTCCCACTACATGTCTAGGACAGTATAGTGGATGCAACAAAAAGTTGTGGCCAGCCCACATTCCTATTCCTTATATCAATAATACATGACTCTGGAAAAGTAAAATTAATTAAAAGATCTCCATCTCGATTTGCTGTTAGGATCAGTATTAACATCTCTAAGCCAGTGGTTCTCAACCTTTCCACATTACTTCAGGAGTCTGATTTGTCTTGCATACCTCCAAGTTTCACCTCACTTAAAAACTACTTGCTTACAAAATGAGACATAAAAATACAAAAGTTTCCCAGCGAACACTTACTGAAAAATTGCTTACTTTCTCATTACCGTATAATTATAAAATCAATTTGAATATAAATATTTTACATTTCAGTATATAGAGCAGTATAAACAGGTAATTGTCTGTATGAAGTTTTAGCTTGTACTGACTTCACTCGTGCTTTTATATAGCCAGCTGTAAAACCAGCCAAATATCTAGATGACTTGATGTACCGCCGGAAGACCTCTGTGTACCCCTGGTTGAGAACCACTGCTCTAAACCACCACTAACTGGAGCCAGGGTCGGGGTTAAGGTCCATCTGGGAACTGGGAGACCCAATTTTATTACCAGATTGGCTACAGGTGATTTTTTTTGTGGCATTGTACAAACCACTTAATCTCTGCTTTTTGTTTCCTTACCTATAAAAGTTACCAACCTCGCGGTGGTAAATGACAAAGCTGTTTGTCGAGTGCTCTGAAATCCTCTCATGAAAGGTTTAGTACAGAATTAACTTTATCTGAGTCCAGGGCTCAAAAAAATCTTATCACTGGCAAATAGGAAGACAAATTCCTAGCCTTAACGGCTGTTAATACTCTGATTTACTTTCGATGGTTGTATGTTTGCAGAATCTGTAAAAGTACTCAACTGCCGCTCCATTTTGCGGTGCATCTCTAGTGTGAAACTGACATTTAAAAATGTTTCAGTGACGGTAATTCCAAACTTTGTGGGCGAACAAACTCTTAAATTGACACTGTTTAGGAAAACATCAACAAAGGTAGACATTGATCCTTCCCTATAAGTTACTCACTCTCCTCAAACTTCTGTTTCTGGCATTAATGAGCAGACCTCTTTCCTTGCTGAATCCTTTTTCCCACTTGCATCAGTGAGGGGACTGGAGAGTTGAAGAGATGGTATGTTTATTTCTTCTAGGGGCTAGGGAAAGTGAAACTTAATTTACAAAAAGCCAGAGCCTTGATCAGAACATGGCTCTTTCCTCTTGATTGGGGAAATTCAAGTAAGTGGTGCAGTTTGGACTGCTTGCCAGGCTTTTGCCAAGGCATCTTGCTGGTATTGCTCACTTCTCTTCATCTTTCATGTAATCTGGCTTAATAGATGTAATTCTCTAGCTATATTAAATGTATTACAAAAATTGTCATGCCCTGGTAGAGTTCAGTTACTGTAATGAGCAGTTATGCTCTTGGCAATTGAACAACTCCTAATGTTTTGGATAATTCAGCTGCTGCTTATGTCAATAAATATCTTGACTTGTCATCTACTGTGTACTGGACCAGTTGTAATTCAAAAGATGTTACATGTAAGCATTGTGTGAGGTCTACTGCATATACATAATTTACACTCACATTATTTTCCTAATTCTTTCCTCCAAGAATGGCAGCTGTGCTAATGAAGGAAACCATTGCAATGGGCATTAATGCAACAAGTCATTTGCCTCTACTTGAAACAATGTTCTTATAAATAGTGTCTTGATGATCCAGCTGATATATTCATCACTCCTTGTAGTCCTGGTTGTCCCAGAATGCACTGGTATGCTTAGTAACTGTCCTAATGTTGCAGGGAACCAAAGTCACTTGCTGATCAAGTGCAGATCATTTCATGTGTGGGGAGTGAATTAGCAGATGGCCATGTAGCTGTAATGTTTTTGTTCCCACAGTTGTATCAGCAGTTCAGTTTGGTCTGAAAGCTTTGTCCTATGTGTTAATTAATTCAGTAAGTCATACCATTTGCACATTCCAGCTACAATTAATGCAAGAGCTGTGCATGTCTTGGGTCACACTCAATGTTCCCACCTAGTGGCTTTTGCCATCATCTCTTCTGGTGTGAAAAGGGTGCTGAAGAGCATTCAGCTTCTTGAAGTCCAGCCTAGGCCTAAACGTATTCAGTTACCACTTAAGGAGAAGAAACTACATTTCCTCACTGTTTTGCAATATACAATGTACTAACACATTTCCTTTCTTCAGTTACAGAGTGACTGGAAGAAAGCGGTGGAACAATGGATGCGTGTTGGGAAATCTGAGGATAACTAGTGCAACACACAAATTTTAACGACCTCTAAAAGTGGTCTTGGCCAGCATTCAGGGTGTGCAGATGTTAATGTTAGGTTTGAAGAAAAAGGTGTTAATTACTATTTTAGAGCTGTTCTTGTTGGAGCATTGCTGCATGAAAGGTTACTCCCCTCAGATGTTACCATTAGTATCTCCTTTATAGCTGAAAAGTGTGAACTAAGTGGCTATTGTCTGGCTTTTGTAACTGTCCACTTCCAAGAAGTAAGTGTGGGTGTACTAATGTTGATGCTGCAGCAGAACAAACATTCCTGTGCTACTGTTAGGCCTTGTCTACACTGCAGAGTCTTATCCAGAAAAGGCAGCCTTTGTCAGCAAATCTGTGGAGGTGTACACACTGCAGTGCCACTTTTGGTGGCAAAGTTAAAGCAACAAAGTGTCAGTGTAGATGCTGCTGTTCCTTATATTGCCAGTACTCGCCTCCCCCAGTATTTTTCAGTGCCCGTTGTGACTGATCTGCTCACTATTTAGAACTCGGCTGCCCTGCATGCATGTGCCCCATCCCTTTCAAAGCTCCAGGAAGTTCTGGAATTTCTGACAGTTGAGCTCCAGCAGCAAAGAGCAAATCATTAATGTGGAATGCTGCTGTCTCCTGTACTAGGAACATAGAGGCAGGTGTGTGCGTATGAGAAACTGCTGTGCAGAGCCAGGTGGGAGCTGATGTGTGCGTGAGGAGAAGAGGGAGGGTGTCTCCCTGGCTCAGGACTGGCTGATTCCAGCAGCTGTCAAAGCCTACGCACTCACACTCCTCCCCCCTCCCCCCCCCCACCTTCAGTTAAAAAGCAGATGGCAATCTAGTAGAATGCCCAAGGAACCATGAGCTTGAGAAACCTGCACCATGTGATGCTGTTCTGTGCCTACCCCATGATACCTTGCAAATCCTTCGTAAAGCACCCTGTGGCCGGTTGCACAGTGGGATAGCTATCCACAGTGTACTGCTCTGGGTCGATACAAGAGCAACTAGTGTGGATGTGCTGCACTGACACAAGGAGCATAGTGTGGACATGCAACAGCGGTTTAATTGAAGTGGCATACCTTCTGTTGATAAAACTCTGGAGTGTAGACAGCTTTAGTGAACGGTTTGCAGAAACAGTTCTGCTGAGCTGAAAATGGAACGACAAATCACTTACGCAAAAGCAACTGCCCACTCTGGGAGGGAGGACTTGCAGACACAAGAAAATTTTTATGTTTCAGGGTATTCTGCATAGGCAACTTAATTTTCCGACCTTTAGATCTTTTTTGGGGGGTAGGAGGCGGGAGAGTTCTTTCGTACTACATGCCACAATTTGACCTATGAGTTATGGTGGCAGTTTTGTAGGGAGTTGTCCACCACCTAACATAACTGCGTTTGTCCTCTAAAGTGAATTTTTTGGAAATTGCAAGAGCAGAAATAGATTTTTCCCTTTTGGATCAGAGGTAATAGTCATGAACCTAAAATGAGATATAGAGGACTTCTGGGGAATGTTCATATCCATCCTTGGAGTTATTGGTACCCTTGTACCAGCTAGCATCTTTCATAAATGGTTACTTCCAGATGCGATCCTTCTAAGGTAGAGCTAATTAGTTTGTATGGAATCTTGTCTTTTAAGTACATCTCCAGGTTGTCTGTATTGCATTTGTACTCTGTATTACGCATGTTTATTGCTTATTTTGCCAATATATGGAACAAGTGAAATCCAATTTTCAACCATCACTAATTCTGTATGCTATCCCTCATCTTTCTCATTGGTGAAAATGCATAGTCATGGTTAATAAACTTTACATTGACTGAACGTGTGATAGATGCAAAGTGGTATAAGTGAAGCAGCTAAGCTTCAATTTACAAATACGGTCATTGAGAATGTTCGTGCCTGTGCTTGTCCCTGACCTAGCTGTCCAGACAAAGGATGGCTTGAAATGAAGGTACTAACTGTGTGTGTGTGTGTGTGTGTGTGTGTGTGTGTGTGTGTGTGTGTGTGTGTAGTATACTATAACTA